AAGATTTCAGGTAAAGAATTAAACATGTAATCAAAATGTAAATTATGCACTGTTATATTACACTGTAAGGAGCTTTTAATCTTTCTGCATACCCAGAACATTTTAACCCTTACAAATAAAAATACAAGCAAGAGAAATTAAAAAACAGCCTAACAATAAGACAGTGATGATCGAAATAAATATGAAAACTGCAAGAATTCAACTATGCAAAACAACATTAATATTTGGGGGGAAAAGTATTTCCAAACAAACTAATGTTTGCTCATGCAACAGGACTTTCCCCGTCGTTTTGTCTTCCTAAGGAGATTTTGAGGGCATGCAGGGGGCAGTAGGAAAAAAGGGAAATTGCCCCTTCCTCCCCATTCTACTTGTAGAAATTGGTGTATTGGAAAGAAAAAGGAGACATTTCTTATTGTTTGTTCATTACTTGCATTATCACCTCATTCCCAGTATGTTGAGTGCATGTATCTAAGGGCAATAAGTGCCAAGAGAGATCGATTGTTTCTTTATTAGACCTTGCACACATTCAGATATCATGTTCTAGATCCTTCAAACCATGCTTGGAGAATCAGAAATGAGCTCTGCATTTATACACTTCTCCTTTGTGCACTTGGCCTCCTCTTTTGATCAAATCAGTCTGAAACTGGAAGCTGTAGTTACAATAAAGCTTCCCACTCAGGACTGTGTCATGAAGAACGGAATGCAGTCTCTATGATAGGATGTTGTACTTTTAAATGAGTTATCATCTGTGGTTGAACTCCCATTATCAGGTGGCTAGATTTCACTGCTGATTCAAATAATAATCTTGAGACAATAGGCTGTTAGAAAAATAATAATTTTCTAACTGGAGTTGGGACCTTTCTATACATCTTTTTTTAAAAATCCAAAACAGAAAACATGAAATTGTAGCAAAAGAACAAGTGACTGTTGCTGGCCAGACTAAATACACTTTAGTCTCATTTCTGACTCATGTTCTTCTATTAGACAACTCTTCAGATACATTTCTGACAACTGTTCTTTTTCAGTTTGAAGCCTGAACTCATACACTTAAAATAAAAATGAAAGAGGAATGTTATTTCAAAGTAGTTGCTAGAGTGATGGGCTGACTTATTTGTTCAATTTTTCACTAATTCAGAATTAGGACTTTGGTTCCATGCAATCATACAGAAAGCAGGTAGCCCATGTGCAGCTGACTCTGCTTAGTCTTTGACTGCTGCTTGGGGATTCAGCAGCACCAAGCTTTCATTTTCTTTACAAATCACACAAACATCTCTTTGTCAAATTTAAATGAACTTTCCCTTACTCTTGGCATTCAGAGGCTTCAGATTCCTCAGGTGTGGGGCTGCCTTCAAGCTTTTTCCAGCCAATGACATATTTGCTTATTGCTCCTTGGCGAGGGTAGCATTTTGTCACTGACCCAGGTATTGGCTGGCCTTGTGACACTATGTACACTTTGGAGGTATCTAATGAACCACTGCTTTTATGACCATGTGCTGAAGGACTTCCTGAATGATGTGACCCACTAGAAGAGAGAATACACAAAACAAAAATATGTAGCGTAGGATATATGGAAATATGAGACAGAAAAACTATTTCTATATATATATACTACAGCATATAGGACAATTATTATGTTTAAGGATGTACTTTTAACAATATTCATATAAAAGCTTTAGGGCACAGCCCAATGAGATGAACATAAGCTCCCAAACTTGGAGGCTCACAACCATACAATGCAGAGTGGGAGCAGTGACAGAGATCTTTGCCTTTCCACTCCTCCTGCTCTGCAAATTTCCTGGCAGGCATTTTCAACTGTCCCAGCAACCCAGGGGGTGAAGAAAGGCGAATGGAGCAACCTCAGGATGCCCCATAGCCTGGCCACACCACTCTCCTACTTTCCTCCAAACTGTCTTTTTCTTTCTCTCCATGGTCACTTTTCTTACCTCAGAGAACTAAAGCATTTCTTTCCATGCTAGCTGTGAAGGGGTGGGAGTGAGAGCTCCAATTCCCAACTCCAATATTGGAGCACTGTGCCTGATTTCAAAGCTGTGAAACTGAACTATCCTTTGGTTCTTCGGATGATATCTAAGGGCCACAGAATTATTCCTTTCAATGAAAAGGGAAGCAAATGAAAGTTCCAAAGCTTACATTTTCTGGAGGGGTGGGGGTGAACCTTTGCTTACCCGTAACAGTGAAGGTACTAACTAGGCCAAATCTTGCTTAGTGCCCAAAAGCAGATGAGATTGGCTGTGTTCGGGGTAGTAACAGCTGTATGCCAATATTATGAGGACAATATGATGATATTTCATTCAATGACAATATTATTCATTCAGATGTAATTTACTGTGCTGCAGTTTGGCTAGACCGTGCTCATCCAATTTAAACATATACCTTGTTAGAGAGTGTAAAGCACTACACTTATTCATTACATATGTATTCATCCTACCTTTCTCAATAGAACTTATACCTATGTTCTTAATAGAACATAAAACGTATAATAGAGCTTATATTTATGTATTTGCTTGTATCAGATACATTAATCTAAGAATGCCAAGAATGTTTAGTCAAAAACTGATGATTTAAAATGTCTCTTCTGAGAAAGAAACAATAATGCACAAATGGGATTCCCGTATTTCTAAAGGTGCTAATCTGTCAGCTTAAAGACGTTTTACTTTCTCACTTCACTACCATCTTCTACTGCTTAGTGAAATGAACCTGGAAATAAAGAGGCCAGAGGAAATAACTTAGCATAAACAATTAGGATTGCCCATTTAATTTATTTGCTAATTTCTTCATTTCAAAAGAGAAACAATAGGAACCATTTTCCTATAAGCTAACTCCAACATATGGCTAAAATCCCAAGCACACTTTGTACAAGGTCTTGCCCTATTGAATCCAGGGGTCTTATTTTGCCTGAACAAGCAACAAGATTTACCTGCAAGCCACTGCCACCATAAACTAGCAGCACAAACTTGAGTACAACTACATATGTACTTGTACATAATATTTCTTTCAGTGTTAGCATTCAGCATTGAAGGGGGAAATTTCACTTTTTTAGAGCACAGGTGAGCTTTATAAATCATGGTTTATAGAAGCGATTATCAAGCAAAGTATGGCGCTTTGCTTCTATATGAAACCCACCCAGTGCATAGGCAAAACTTTCCTTAAAATACTTGTAAAGTCGTGTACCGGGGACAGAGCAAACCACACCATGCTTTTAGGCATTACTTCAGCAGTTAACAATATGCAATTCTGCTTCATCACTGTGTTGTGTATATGAGCAGCTGAGCTGAGCTACATGCTATTACACAGTTCTACAGATTATATTTCTCACCTTTTAGGATTTTATATATACTTGGATTTGGACTAGATTTTGAATCACTTGTTTTCAACTACGTAGACATCACACCAAAAACTGAGGTGAAAAACCCATGCAGTTAAGTTTGCAAGGAAAGAAATGTTTCAGCTTTACTTGACACATTCTGAAATAAATCACTGTTGAAACTAGACTAAGAATCATCTCAGTAAAATGTAACGTTAGCATCAAAAAACCAGATCCACACACTTTTTACTCAGAACTATTATTTTTGACTATGTTGAAGAAAATCACTGACCTGGAATGTGAAGATATTTCACTAAGGTCAGCCATGCTGCCATCACCTGTATGGCTGCTAGAAATGGCAGATGCATAGCTGTGAACAGCATACATTTTAGTATCTTCATCTGGTCCAGAAGTTTCAGTGGTTTCAGCCCACTGATCAGTCCGACTATGCATCCCTGACCGGCTTCCAGCAAGGTGCAAAGGGACCAAAATTGGGGCAGGCATACAAGGAGTAGTATCAATCCCACTGTCAGTAGAAGCCCCTTTAATATATGTTAATCCAAGTAAGTCAGTATCCATTAGGTCTTCAGAGCCAAAATGCTTATCATCACTGTTGCTGGATGTATTACTGGACAAGGTATTACTGCTGGAATGGCTGGAACAGGTTTTGTCTCCAATCTTAAAAAGAACCATTTTATAATACAATTTTACTATTTGATGTTCAAAGTTTCATCAATGAAAGATGCAAATGTTGGCACATTATGACTTGTTAAAAGTACCAAATAAACATGAAGCAAATGCAAAGTTATCTTACAAGTGCTTTTCATTATTCATATAGATTAGTAATTTCTACAGAATCATGTATGAGAACAGAGCAGGAAAAAACTTGCTTTCTGCAAGGAAAAGTGCGTAAGATTATAATAGTTGGAAGTTATATATCCAGAATGTAATATTACATCATCAAATCTTCATTACTGTTACAGGAGATCCTCTTTAATGTAAATAAAAGAATACAGGCTGCAACTGGTGACAGACTATTACATTTCATGACGTAATGTGTCAGTCTAGTAGCTAGGCCTCCTTGGGACAACCATATACTTCTGTCAAGGCTTCAGAAGTAAGTCTATTTATAAAGGTTATTGAGTTAGGAGTTAAGCTTAGATTATATCACCAACCATGTTAGAAACAGGGTGGGGCGCCCACACAGGGAGACTGGGCTAATATCCATATGCATCATTTCCAAGGATAATGAGAGATAATTGCTGGGTCTCCCACAAAAGGACTGCTGTGTGTCCTGAAGACCAATCTATTAAAGAGTAAATATGCCATCCTAACAAATTCTTTCTATTCCTTATCAGGATAGAATAACTCAGCAAGGCACGTGATTTCCTGGGTATGGAATTCTGTGGTTGGCAACTGTTATCCATGCGTGCCAGAACAAGTTTGCTGAGGCACATGAGTCCTGCCAATGTTTTATATTAAAAAAATATATATTGCTGGAGGTTGTTAAACAAGGCCCTGCCTTCTAGCAGTTGCCATCTTCATATTCCCACAACACCTCTGAGCCCCACATCTTTTAAGTTTTAACAACAGTGGGTGGCACAGACCTCAGTTTTATTGTAGACTGTACTCAGACCCCCAAAATACAATAGATGATCTCCTGTTACCGGGTAGGTTGGGAGGGGGATGAGAAGGTGTCACAAATTATTGAAAATATGTGTGCCTGTGAACACAGGTGTGCATGTACCTCTTTGAAGAAGAGATGGAGGGAAGCTCTGGGGAAGGGAGCAAGGTAAAAAAAAGGAAAGAAAGAAAATCAAGAAAGGGTGTAGGCTATGTGTGGGCTGATGTTGGCTGTGGATGCACTATGCGTGGGGTTTTGTTTTTGCTTATTTAGAATAAATAATTTGGAATACTCTTTGCAAAAATACTTTGCAAAAATAACCTCGTGGAAATAAATTTTGGAATAATTTATTCAGATGTGATTTGGTCTAACATTCTATGGGATTGTTTTTAGCTGGAATATAAAGTTGTGGGTTGAAAATGGCAAGTTTGATTTGAGCCTCATTAGTTTGACTTTCTAAGAAATGGATGCTTAACTATTATACAATATTTTGGCAGCCATTTAGGGCACTCCCCCAATGGAAGCCATTTTGGGGTGGTGGCCACAATACTTTCTCAGAAATGTCAATGTGACCAAAATGATTGGAGACCCCTAATCTAGATCATTATGCCTAACAAGAATGTCTGCTGTCTCTTCAACAGCATCTCTCAAGTCATATGCCCTAACTTTATAACTCAACATTTCAAAACCAGTTTGTCTATGATTTCATAGCAGAATGGTTCTGCTAGACAGCTGTGAAATATTTTGTTGCACTTGTGGGCACACAGTATATTTACCAGCAAAAAAAAATAAAATTTAGTGAAAAAGTATGCGAGTTAAAGGAAAAGAGTTTCAGGAAGTCTTTAAATGGTATTATCAGAATAAATGAAATAAGACACAATCTTATATATTGACCTTATGATAACAAAAGGTGGGATTATAAGAAAGTCAAACCAATCCTCCACATTAGGTGGTCAGAAAGGTTGGGTAATAAAAAGGTGATAAAAAGGTAAATAATCCCTCCTACCACAGTTCAACATATTTTAAAAATAATTTTCACTTTAGAATACCCTATTTTTCCACAGTGTTATTGTCTGTATCATTGTCTAACAAGAAAGAAGCAGCAGAAGAGCAACAGAAGAGCAGTTATCAATATTCTCCTGACTTCCGCTTTTTGCCTTAACATGCAGATGATGTAAAGCTAACATCAACAAGTTTGTTCCTCCTTGCATAAGACTACAGGTTCATTACATGGCATGTAGTTGATCCTTTCTATTCTATCTTTTTACTCCAGCATAGGCACACAACATGAGGGAAGGATTAAAATCACCTCCCTCCCCACCCCCACACAAAGCGTATGTTCTCAAAATTCCCTGCAGGAGGGGTAACACCAATGAAGGTGTTTTCAAACCCTTTCATAGCAGGACAGGTAAAGAAGATTTTGAGAAGCAAACTGCTTAGGGGAATATTCATCCTCTTCTCACAGTGCACAGTAGTCCCAATCTGAATCAGACCTTCACATACCTACTCCAGTAGTTAAGACTCAGCTACGTACATAGTACAATGTATACTTGCTGTTTAAAGCTTAAAATGCAGTGAATAGAGGTGAAGATATAAAATATATTAATAAATTAAATATATTAAAAAAAAACTTCCAGACACAAGAAAGCCAGCACATATCCATATAGGTACATGTGTAAGTAAGATCCAGGATAGCATAGTGCCAGTGTCACCCTGCTCACATGGTTTAAATAAGGCTTGGAGGGTGGTGGCAAGGGGGATGGCTTTCTTTGTGGTGGTCCCCCATCTCTGGAACCACCTTCCTGCTGCAGCTTGCCAATCATCAAATCTGCCATCTTTTCAGCACCAAGTTAACACTATCCTTCATGCAGAGGCCTTTAAAGATCTACCTGGTTACCCAGGGGCCTGAGGGGATTATCCAGGTAATTCTTTTCCTTTGAAGGATCATTTTTTGCTATATTTTAAAACTCAATTTGATGCTGTTTTGTTTTTATAGCAATTGTATTGTGTTGTATTGTTTTATGCACTCTTATAAACTGCCCCAAAACCTTTGGTTGTGGGGTGGTATAGAAATGGAATAATAAAAAGAACAACAACAACATTAAAGACCTGCTTATACTGGTCCTAGCATTATCCCCAGGAGTTGGGCCTAGTGTTGGTTTTTGCTCAGGACAGACTGTGGGAATAAATAATGTTAAGTGATGGATGCTCTTTTGTCTCAATGACAAAGGCTCATTCTCCAGTGCTAGCTCCACTACAGCAGAGAGGGATTGCTTATGCACATGAACAGGGAGAAAGAACAGCATGTGGCTTGGCGTAGTTCTGTCATCATTTAATTTGCCACAAAAGTAATATTAGTGCACAAGAGGCCCCATTTTACAATTCTCACACTTCAGCTCTCACATTATTTAATTCAGCTGGAAATAATTGTTTCTTAACATCAGGTCATCACCATCGCCCTTGAAATTAACAGGAACAAACATAGCAAGGAATTCTAATTAGATGCATTCTTGAAAAGGTGCAGTTTTGCCTAAATAATAAAAATACAACTGCTAGCAATTAAAATAGATGTATATTCCTGACAAGATGGCAATATATGAATGTCACTTCAATAAAAAAGGACATGTTCTCAGGGCTATGCCAGCTCATGTAATGCAAGTTCTAATCGGATACCAGAGTGATGCCTACATTAGTGAGTCTTTAATCCACTCAGTGCCCTAGAAACCAGCACATGCCCTTTATAATGCACTTGTCTGAGGTTACTGTCTGAAAGAATACTTGAATCTACTTCTGCATCACAGATGCTTATTACTTGTCCATGCCATTTAGGAAATTGTCAAAACTGTTTTTTTATTGCTGGCAGATACAAGTGGATGACCTCTTTTGCACCCAGACTGTTTCTCAGTTTTATTCTACAGAAAATATAATATGCAAAATAATGTCAAATGGAACTGTAGGATACAGAAAAGTATAGAAATAAATGTATGAGCACCAATACCGGGATTCTTCTTGGAGTCCGGTCTACCCTTCACAATTCCTATTTCCCATTTCTGTATCTACTTTCAACCCCACAGCTGACTGGAGCACCACCTACTATTTGCACATTTCTTCCAGCCTTTGCAATGCAGGCTATACCCACATACATTTGAAAAAGGGTCTATTTCGGAAAATCCTAAATAAAAAGACTTACATGAGAAAATTTGTTTGGTGAATCCTTGCCACTGTTCTCTTTCTGTAAAGCCCGGTCTTTATAGGAACTCAGGACTTTGGTTGATGGTGCATGCCACTTGGTTTCTGCCATAAATAATTATGTGTTTTAATTTCTAAAAACACAAAACATATTGCACAAGGGAAAAAGGTTTACAGCTTAATGCTATACATATCATAATTGACACAGTGATGTTCCCTGGAATTTTCAGGATCAGAGAATTTGCTTTTCTCTTCACTCTTCAGTGGTTATTAAATTTGTGCTGCTTATGAGAATTCTAAATAGGTAGAACCTGCTTCTATATATCATTTTGCTTTATCATTCCTATGAAACATAAAAATGCAAGTGGAATGCAAAATTGATGTTCACATGCCTATCCTCTGCATACTTTCAGAATTCATGCGGTACTTTCTGGTGGAGAAAGAGAGATAAATAGTTTTATTTTAAAGCAGGTGTCCAAGGGAGTTTTATTAAAAAGTTACAGAATTTGTAGGGAAGCATTCTTTAAAATTTTCTCAAATAGAAAATATACTAAGATACACTGACAGTTGATTCTATTCTGTGCATCAGTGACTATGGATGTGCAATAATGGACAAGAAAATAATGCAATATAGGGATTTTCAATAATATTTGCAACAGTATGAAAAAGAAGGGAGTATGAAAAGGAAAAGACAGAAAGTACAAATATGCTAGAAATAACAACCTTGCAGGACACCACTTTTCTCATATATTTAGTTGTCCTGAGAGCTCCAAATAATCCAACTGCAATGATTCTTCCAAGTTCCACACCCATTCTAAATTTTTAATGCGTGCCAACCATGAAATCAGTGTATTCACTTAGGAATGCCTCTGTATTCACAGCTTTCAAACACAGATACAAAGATGTGCACACTGGCCAGGTTCAGGTGACTCTTTAAGTCCAGGATGGCTTGTAAGCCACACCAGATAGCTATTTAGCTTGGAGCCCCACTGTGCCAAATGAGTGGCAATGGCAAGAATCGTGAAGCACCTTCTGCACCCAGCAGAGAGAGGCTGCTTGTGAGCAATTCCTCTTTGACAGGATGAACAGCAGCAGCACCAGAAAGAAGGGAATAAAGCAGCATTATTCTGGAATAATGACACACATTGACTTCTGCTGGTCTATGACCATAACAAATCGATCGACTGATACTCTGGAATAAGTCAAAGCATGACACACTGTGTCACTGTAGCCCCCAGCCCTTTTGGCTGGCAACCGCACTGGCTCCAGGAACCTCTAACAGCCATTACCAAGTGTCACCCAGAACTATTTTGCTAGAGTGGCAAACCTTTATTGCTATTCTTGTCAAGTGGATCTGTGGAGGTTTTGGTCACTTCTGGGATTACTGTATTGTCTGGGTTTGGCTGACAAACCAAGAGGTGGTTTGGTTTAACAAGGCATTGATTCTTGGGATTAGAAACCTATCAACTGGGATTATAAACCACTCCCTAGGGAGTGGCTCTGGGTCACTAAACCACTTGCACTTATTGTGATTTATTGTATCATGTAAAGTAGCCTTAAATTCAAATACACTCTGATCTCATGTGGCTGGAACTCAGTTTTGGAACAGAATAACCTTTGTCATCTAGTATGGTGGGAAAAAGACAAGGAGCCTGTGTCTCCCTTGGGATCCTGTTGGACAGCAGATTTTTGATGTGGAGTTCATGGACAATTGTTAATGAACACCTTAAATTTTAATTGTAGCAGTGGATTCCTTATTATGTATTATGCTTAAGTCTAATGACACCATTAGAGGCTGCATGACACACAGCTCTATATCTGATCTGAAGCCAGAAAGACTAGGGAAGTCCTAAACCAGATTGGTGATAGATTATAAATATGCCGACAAACTAAAACATAACCTGAGCATGACAGAAATGCTCCTGAATGGTAAGAATATTGATTTTCAGACTGGAGGAACTCCTAGACTTAGTCTCATTCCGGTTGCTCATTAGAAGGCTGTGGACTGGAACACTTTTCTCAGTTTAAGCTAATGCACCAGCTGTGCCCATTTATCATGTTTATATGTTTGTGATTTCATTATTTCGTTCTATTTTATTAGCCACCTTGGGTGACCTCAGTAGGAATGTGGGATATAAATCTCTTAACAATAAGCAAAAAATAAAATAAAAACTCCGGACAGGACATTAGAGTTCAAATTCCATCTTCTTTAAGGTCTTTCACTATCTTAAGGGCAGTTTAAAGAGAAATATGATTGTTCTGTGCCTTGTGCTTAAAAACCACTATCATTATCTATGTGCAGAGTGCAGCATGCTTCATTTTTTTAAATCTTAAAAACCTTTAAGATTTCTTATGATGCAGTATGTCAGATAAGCATAAAACAACATCAGGAATAATGGCAAATCAGTTGAGACAGAATACTCATTACCACTTGAATGCCTGGTTCCTTCCAAAGAGTCTTCATGTTCTCTGCCACCTTCACTCTCCAATGGACCAGAACCTTGTTGGTCATGAAGTAAAGGGGACTGGCACCTTTTAAACAAAGAAAGAAATTGGTGCTTTGCCCCACTCACATTGAAAGTGTTTGCTTCTCTTTTAAATGAACACAACTCTATATTTTCAGTATTTTAGCTAGTGAGCATTCAGACCTAAGATAATTTATTATTAATAAGCTTTTTAAAAATGTAGCCTGCTCATTTAAGATAACAGGTCAGTTCCATGCTCAAAATAAGCCAAGATTTCCTATATAAGCTTATTTCAATCAACGTGCATGCAGGACACAATTCAAAAGGTCACTCATTTCATGCAGACTCACATAACACTTTCAGATAAGTAGGAGCTGTCCCTAATTTTCAGATAAACAGCAGGCTGAATATCTAATGTTTTATTATACTATATTATATTGTAATATATTATGTGCTTAAATTATTGTAAAAGCCCTAATCACCTCAATGAGACCCTCCATAACAGCCTGAAGCAGTTTAATAATCATGTATATTATTTATGTACTGATTACTCTTAAAAAGGGTCTGACATGTAAAGTAATAAGTACCCGTCATATCCAGCTTGATGCCTCCACTGACTACTCCCACTTGGTCCTGGGTCACTGGAGGATGATTGGTTGCTTGGTGAACTTCTGAAATATTGACTACAGTAATTTAAGATGTACTGAGATCTGTGATGTTTCAACCATTCTTAATGAGCTCATTTCATAATTAAACCTGAGAATTACCAATAATATGAAGACATTGGAGAGATCCTTTTGGGAACTTAGACCACTAACTGGTCTATAGAAAAGTCACAGTTCAGCAGTCAATAAAATACAGGAATGACCAATTGAAAATCAACAGTGTTTCAATGCATGCCTTGTTCACATCAACATTCAAAAAAGAAACTATTTTGCAATTAATGTTGGTGCTGCAAAACACCACTGCTAGCAAAGAACATTTTGTAGTAGGAGACTCTAACAATTTTCACTTTATTTTATTCCCTCTCAAAATATACCAGCAATCTCCAGACTATGAAGTATCCCTGTTCAAGAAAAATGATTTTCAGCTACCCCAATGTCTGGCTTCAGATATTAGCAATGAAGTTTTCATTGGAAAACTGCTGCATTTATTTATTACTTAGATTCCACTCTATCAACCCAAGGGCTATTATACTGGCATAATATCTGGAATAGGCAAACACGTCAGGAAAATCAGATGGCAAATGTGTGACAGAAATGTATTCAGCTGATCCATGTACTGTCTACTTAAAAAGTTACAGATTCATGGGAGTGCCACCCTTGTCATCCAAAAGACCCCACATTGCACATGTTGCCAAGACCAAGAGAGTGCATGCTATTCCACCTGGGAGTGTTTATGCTTTTCACCACCCAAGCTGTGAAACTGTCTGTCAAGGAAAGTCAGACTAGTCTCCTTGCTGTCTCAGAAGACTTAGTCTTAGATGGCTGGGAAGATTATATTGTTTTGTGAAACTTTAACTAGCACTTTGAAGTAATTTTTTCTTTCTACTTCTGTTGTACATCTTCTTAGCACTCAAGAGTGAAGGAGTGATCCAAATATAAATAAAGAGGGCATAGATACTGCAAGGTAAGTGGGGAAATGGAAGGAGGACAGAATATGGAAGCCCAAAATATGAGTTTGCTTACAGAGAAGACAACTTAGATTCATACAAATGATGAAGTTTGGGGTCAAAGCTTCCGTTCAGACAAGCAGCTCAGAGAAGACTATAGAACAACTGTAAGCTATTATACTTAACAAAAAAGCATAATCCAGCCATATATAATCATATAGGTTTCCAGGAAACACCAATGAAGTAAAATAACTGAAAGCACTGTTTAAACAAAGAAACACACACAAACATAAACAAGCAGAATGCTACCTTCTTTTATAGGAGTTAGAAAATAGTTCTGGATGGGGAAAAAGCTTTACTGTTGTTTTTAACATGAACTTCAACAGTAGCCAGAAAGTTAGCACAATTTTATCTAAAAGTATGAAATACTTGTGCAAAAGACATGCAAATGACACAAAGTTTAAGTACAGCTGCAATCTGAGCAGCTAGCAAAACCTCAGCAGTATTAAATTGATTGATACTGGAGAAAGGCTGAACCAAAAAGCATAAAATGAATATTTTTTGGATTTGTAAAAAGGAAATGATTATAAGCTAATGAGGAATCCAGATGTTATAATGGAAAAACCACTGTTTTAAAGGGTCTAGAGAAGCTCATTAGTGTGCAAAAAACCAAAGGGCTGAAAGATTTAGCCTTTATTTAAAGTATCTGGAGTGAAGGGCCTACAAAAATAAAACTACCAGGCCTACAAAAATAAAATCTGCAAGGTACCAATCCAGCAAATGGGATTAGGTTAGCAAAGTGGCTAAGTATTTTAAGGTTTGATTGTCTATACTTGTAGCACATTAGTCTAACCTAATTTTAAAAGTAACTCCTGAAATTTAAATGATTTAATATTTGCAAATGTTGTACTGCTTGAGACAGACAGACAGACAGACAGACAGACAGACAGACGAACTGCAGAATGCTTCTGCAATAACTGTTCTAGTTCAACACTACTGGGCTCACAACTTCAAGACTTCAAGAAAGTTGGACTGCCCTGCAGTGAGATGAAACTATTAACTTGCAAGCAACTAATTTGTTGCTGTTTTTGAATATTCTTTACTTTTGTAAATAAGCTCCTGTGGTATTTTCTTGGTCAGCTATCAAAAGGCACTAAAATAACTTGGCCATTTTTCAATTTTATTAGAAACAGAGGACAGGATTTGAGTTTTCAGCGTATCTTCCTTTCTAGTATTGTCACAGTTACCATGATTGCTGTTTGTTTCAAGGAAGATGAGTAGGGGCAAACCCGAAGCTTCTGTGGCACCTACTCTGCAGCTCACATATGTTAAAAACTTGCAGGATGCTGCATTGATTGAGTCAGGAGCAAAGTGTTTAGAACAGAAAGGAATTAACATGAAGAGCATATTACCTTGCACCATCTGGCAGCTTCCTGTCAAATGAGGTACTGCGAGGAATGGCTGTTTGCGCCTGCTGGAGAAGCTGCTGGCACTGCAATCTATCAGATGTTCCTAGGATTGGAGAGGCACGAGAGAGAGGCTGCCCAGCAGGAGTTGGCACCCGATGCCAAGTGGTATTCCTCCTGAAAGGGGTTTTATACTCACATGGGGTGCCTTCACTGTCAAGTTTGTACTCTACCATGGGAATTCGACACAGTTCTGAGCAACCCCTACAATATAAATAAACATAATCTGTAACAATACTGTAAAGTAAGTGAAGATGCAATAGAAGCAGGCAATAAATATGACAAGGGGGGTATTTTCAGTGCTGTCTGTCCACTAGCAGAATGGACATGGCTTGGTAGGATGGATCTCTGTACATTTACAGCCCACTTTTCCATGTGCATCCAGAATCTGCTCAGGGTGAATGGGGTGAATGTGTACAAGAGAAGAAGGGTAAATCACTTGGTGCAATACAGTATAGTCCACTAGGATGAAATATCAGGCTCCTTACTGAGAAAATATTATATACGGTGACGCAGGGAAATGGGAAATTTTGCAACTAGGAGTTGTTGAACCAGAAGCATCAGCAATTGTTTGGAACCAGTGCGACTCATTAGAACCCCTTGTCATTAGTTATAATGGAGCAGTGGAGTGGTACACAACAAACATTCACTGTGAAAGCCTTTTATAAAATGGTGATAGTGTGACTGCTGCACAAAGGGAATTTTGGCGTCGTTACCAGTTAGGACATCATGATCATGCCCTGTCTGCTTGTGCAATTACAACATGGGTGTGTAGTTTCGAAGAAATGGGTTCAGCCTTCAACAAGAAGTCCCCAGGTGGTGTTTGAATGGCCCACACACCAGAGAATATTGAGGATATTTGAGCTGCCATCATGAGAAGCTCTCACCACTCTGTTTGGCAACACGCATCGTTGCTATATTTGGGGCAACAAAGTGTGCAAAGAATACTGCATGAGTTGAAGATTGTGCAGGTCAAACCCAATGACCATGTGTTGTGTCAACAGTTCTGTGAACAATTGCTGGCTAAAGCAAACAAGGACGCCAATTTCATTAACCACTTGCGAATTTTGGACAAAGCCCATTTTCACTTTACAGATATGTTAATGAACAGAATTTTGGAACTAGGAGTTGGTGACCCTGGGGTGTTGGCAATTGTTTAAAAGCCAGGTGTACTGCACACGTCCTGCAACCACTGCTGAACTTAAAAGGAGAACTGAAGAGGAAATCACTGGCATTCCTCTTGCCATGCTATGTTGAGCAATACAGAATTTCCACAATAGGCTATGTACAGAGAAATGAACAACACCTTCATGATGTTATCTTCAAGACATAAAATGAACACTGAATGAATATTGATTACCATCATTAATTGCCTAACTTTTACATTTCATCATAAAATGTATTTTACAATACAATACACATTGTATTTTACAATGTGTTTATTCATACACTGATTGTCAATTGAAAATTTTCCTTTTCCCTGCGCCAACCTGTATTATAAATGGAAGGTTTTACCTACAATAATGGGAAGTATTAGCTTAAAAATACTTCTCCAAAGATGAAACTTAAATTAATTTGAAGTATTTAATGTTAATTATTATTTATTACATACATTTATATACCATTTTCTAGTGAGCAGAAAGTCTTATCAAAGCAGTGAACAGAAATTATGAAAACATAAAATATGGTTAGTGGCTTGATAATCCTTCAGGGAAAGTCTGCATGAAGAGGCATGCCTTGAGAAGTTTATTATAATTGTATTTATACCTCACCTTGCTTCCTTTTGCAAGGAACCTAAGGCAGCTTACAAGGTGATGGTGGTGATTTCACTTCTATACCACCCCAAAGTCAAGCTGTCTGGGTGATAATCTTCCCCTCCCTTTTATTCTCACAACAATCCTATGAGGTAGATTAGGCTGAGCATCTGTCACTGGCCCAACATTACCCAAACAGTTTCACTGCTGAGTGGGAACTAGAAACTAGTTCTCCAGAGTTCCAATCCAACACTCTTAACCATGGCACCACACTGGTTCTCAAAAGAACAACACTAAAGATGCCTAAAATCAATATAGAGAGTATTTCAGAAGGCAGCTGCTGCTACCCAGTAAAGTGTTCCAGGCTAATATTATTAAGAGGTTAATAGCATGAATTACCAAAGTAGCATAATTATAATGACACATAAACCTATGCACATAGTAGGCATGCAATGAGCGGAGCTGGCTGGAGCCAGGGGTCAGACTAGAGGGCCCGGGAAACCCCTTTTGACTTGCTCTGTTTCTATGTTTATCCTGCTTTTCCAAACATTTTACATATACTATTGCAATGAAACTCACAACAGCCTTGTTTATCATTTTATTACTTCTTCAGAAATCTGGTGAGGCATATACTGAGATCAAGACAGTACTTGCTAAATTTGTTGAGTGAGCTCATGGCAGAATAGAAATTTAAAGCAATTTGTGCCCTTAGCCATTTGCTTATGCCAACCTAATAAAAGGTGATGGGATAAAACAGTCTTCAATCTATTAGGACTAGTGTTTGCTTCATGAACTGGAGCAAGTGAAGACCAGGATGTTGTTCTGGTTAAAATTTAAGTCACAAAACCTAATCCTTAGCAGTAGAATTTAAACATTACTTTAAAAATTACTTGGAAATCATCCTCTGTTGCAATCAGAAGCACCTGATATATTTGAATAAGTGTCATTTGGGTTTTGGTCAGGAGTTTGAACCTTTTCAAAAAATGTGTGAATGAATCTGATGCTGAGAGTTTTTGCTCCTCTCAACTCTTTTTCCAAGAGTGAATGGCTTGAATACCCCCATGAACCTAAGGTACTAGTTCTTAGAATCCCCATAACCGAGGTCAACTGGCATTTTCTCCAAATCCCTTGAATTCATATTTTCTGGCTTCCCCCCAGAGTGCGCTTTCAAAGTGTGAGAAAAAAGTATTTCAACTGCAAGTTCTACACAACTTAAAAAAACAATGATATACAGACATATTTATATGCCTCCCGGAAACTACATGTGTGTGGAAATATCAAGTGGCAACCAGACAGGAAACTTTTTTCCCCCATTCCATTGAAAGAAATGACTTATTGGAAAACTACCATAAGCTAAATGCAACAACCATAACTTTAATTCCACAGTGACATAGTTTAAGGAGAGCTAGGACACCAACGCCAGACAATCTCTAAATTATAGAAAAGCAACAGCAAGCTTAAGTTAATTGAGCCATTTAATCATGTATCACAGTAGTTATACAGGCATACCTCAGAGATATTGTGGGTTCGGTTCCAGACCATCACAATAAACTGAATATTGCAATAAAGCAAGTCACGCTCTTTTTTGTTTCCCAGTGAATACAAAAGTTATGCTTACATTATACTGTAGCTTAAGTGTGCAACAGCATTATGTCTAAAATTGTGCATATCTTAATTAAAAATACTTTATTGCTAAAAAATGACTAACCATCAGCTGATCCTTCAAAAAGTTGTAATCTTTTTGTTGCTGGAGGGTCTCACCTTAGTGTTGATGGCTGATGACTGATAAGGGAGCTGGTTGCTGAAGTTTGGGGTTGCTGTGGCAATTTCTTAAAATAAGACAACAATGAACTGTGCTGCACTGACTGACTCTTCCTTTCATGAAAGATCTCTCTGCAGCATACAATGCTGTTTGACAGTATTTTACCCACAGTAGAACCTCTCTCAAAATTGGAGTCAATCTTCTCAAACCCTGTCTTTTCTTTATCAACTAAATTTATGTAACATTCTAAATCCTTTGTTGTCATTTCAACAATCTTGTAGATTCCATCTCAAGGAACCACTTTCTTTGCTCATCCATAGGTAGCTACTCCTCATTTGTTAAAGTTTTATCATGAGATTGTGCCAATATAGTCACATCCTCAGGTTCCACTTCTAATTCCAACTCTCTTGCTATTTCCACATCTGCAGTTATTTCCTTCACTGACATCTGGAACCCTTCAAAGTCATCCATGAGGGTTGGAATCAACTTTTTCCAAACTTCTGTTAATGTTGATATTAACTTTTGACTTCTTCCCATGAATCACAATGGTTCCTAATGGCATCTAGAACAGCAAATCCTTTCCAGAAAGTTTTCAATTTACTTTGCCCAGATCCATCAGAGGAATCACTATCTATGGCAACTATAGCATTATGAAATGCATTTCTTAAATAATAAGATTTGAAAGCTGCTATTACTCCTTGATCCAGAGGCTGCAGAATGGATGTTGTGTGAGCAGGCATGAAAACATTAATCTTATTGTACATCTCCACCTTGGTGACCAGGTGCACGGTCAATGAGCAGTAATATTTTGAAAGGAATCTTTTCTTCTGAGCAGTAGGTCTCAACAGTGGGCTTAAAATATTCAGCAAACCATGTTGCAAACAGATGTGCTGTCATTCAGGCATTGTTGTTCCATTTACAGAGCACAGGCAGAGTAGATTTAACATCATTCTTAAGGGCCCTAGGATTTTTGCAATCATAACTTAAAGTCACAAGTTGCATTAGCCCCCAACAAGAGAATCAGTTTGTTCTTCCACACTTTGAAGCAAGGCACTCACTTCCCCTCCCTAGGTATGAAAGTTTTAGATGGCATCTTTTTCCAACGTAAGGCTGTTTCATCTACATTCACAACTTAGTGTAGCTACCTTCATTAATTATCTTAGCTAGCCTTTCTGGATAACTTGCTGTAGCTTCTACATCACTTGTTGCTTCATCTTGCCCTTTGATGTCATGGAGGCAGTCTCTTTCCTTAAACTTCATGAGCTAATCTCTACAAGTGGCACACTCTTCTTCTGCAGCTTTCTCACCTCTCTCAGCCTTCATAAAATTGAAGAGAGTTAGGGCCTTGCTCTGGCTTTGGCTTAAGGGACTGTGGTAGCTGATCTGTTCTTCTATGCAGAACACTAAAACTTTCCCCATACCAGCAATAAGGCTGTTTTGCTTTCTTATCATTCATTTATTCACTGGAATAGCACTTTTAATTTCCCTCAAGAATTTTTCTTCTGCATTTACAACTTAGCTAACTGTTTGATGCAAGAATCCTAACTTCTGGCTAGTGACAGGCCCTCCTTACTAAGCTTAATCATTTCTAGGTTTTGATTTAAAGTGAGAGAGGTGTGACTCTTCCTTTCACTTTAACACAACACTTAACACAATTGATATTAAGTGGCCTAATATCAATATTGTTGTGTCTCAGGGAATAGAGAGAGACAGAGGAACAGCGGGTCAGTGAAACAGTCAGAACACACACAAGAGTTATCAATTACGTTTGCTGTCATATATGGGCTTGGTTTGTGGTGTCTCAAAAGAATTACAATAGTAACATCAAAGATTACTGATCACAGATATAATAATAATGAAATATTGCAAAAATTACCAAAATGTGACACAGAGACACAAGTGAGCAACTGTTGTTCGAAAAATGTTGCTGATAGACTCCAGGGTTGCCACAAACCTTCCATTTGTAAAAACACACACACACACACACACACACACACACACACAATATCTGCAAAGCACAATAAAGTGAAGCACAACAAAACAAGGTATGCCTGTAGTTGACCTAACATTCTCTCCTTGCAGAACCTATTTGATCAAGGAACTACACCAGGTATATATCCACTTGGCATTGCCACCATATGTGGTAAGCCTGTTCAACTAGTGAGTGGGGGGAGGTTGAGTATCAGTGGGGGTCCACTGAGGGATGCTTACTCTTGTGGGCTCTTCTGCGGCATCTGGCTGACCAAGGTCTTCCGTTCTTAAATAGTACAGGCATTCACTAACCCACATATTCAGTTCAAAACCCAATTCAGCACTTGGAAAAATGGCCCAATTCTGCCTTGATCAAATTGGGGGCCACTCACTTCAACTTGGTACTTAATCCAAGTCAAGATTCAGAAATCTGAGGCTTTGCATTAGCAATGAACTACCATAAGGAATGAAAACACAGCTATAACTGTCCATCTCTTTGTTAGAATTGGGTATTTCCAGGTATAGGAGAGAATTATGACTGCAAATTTTGGAAAATAGGTGTGTCAGGCATGTTATACCAAATGTCTTTATATTTTTCAATACAGAAAATAGAGCAAAGCCCAGAGAATCAAGATCCAAGTTAAATGTCAGGAAGTACTTCCTGACAGTTAGGACACCTACAGTATGGAATGAACTTCCACAGATGGTGGTTGAAGCCCCATCAGTGAGCGTGTTTAAAGACAGGCTGGACATGCCTATGGTAGGCATGTCATGAGCGGAGCTAACTGGAGCCAGGGGTCAGACTAGATGGCTCGGGAGGCTCCTTCGGACTCACATGTTTCTATGTTTCTATTTTGACATATCTGTTGTTGTAGTTATGGGAATGGCAGTAAAATTTTATTTCTTGGCATAATTGGATGGATTTTGCATGGGTATTTCCCTTTCTGATAGGTTCAACCCTGCAATGGTTCAGCTGAATAGGCATGGAGAGTTTCACTCTAGGAACATGCTTGATATTGTAAATGTGTCCCAAAGTCTGCCCCAAAAAAGACACATTCATTTCCCTATGACCATTGTTCTGAGAATGACAGATAGACCGGGGATTAAAGTAAGAAACCTGCAAAGTCTCAAAAGAATAGTACTGTGAACTAGGTAAGTATTATGACTGGAGACCTTAGCATTGACAGAACCTTAGCATTTCCTTAGCATTGACAGAATGGCTATCTCCCAACCCCATCCTTGTCCTCTCCCAAAACAAAGTTACTGTGAGCACTTGATAAAGCATGCACTAGGATTAGAAGGTGGACTTACCAACCAACCACTCAACATGGACTCTCCTTTCTTCCTGCTCATCAGCAATTTAAAAAAATAATGAAACTGAAAGACACTATCTGGTGATGAGATATAATGTCTGCATCTCTGAGAACAATTTGGTAATGATGGCTTCTTTTGGTCCATCTTCAATTCATGTGGCTTCAGAGATGAGAAGCCTACTTTAGTTCCAGAAAGAGTCCAAAGGAAACTAATTTTACACAGGTTTGGAATTTCCAAAACTGATACACTTCCCTGTTATATAGTATCACATACCAGGTGAAGTGCATGTATTAAGAGTGGATTTCAACCAGATAATTTTTTATCTCGCAGTGAAAAACAAACCAACTCATTTTTAAATAAATGTTGGCAACTGGGTTTCATAGAAATTTTCAGAGCTGATAGATTAACCTAAGTTAAATTAAGTGATACTAAATCTACTGCAGATAGCTTAAGCTGCTATTGTTCAATTTTCAAATGTATATCCATCCCCTATAATAATTGCTTATAAGCTTGAATGCTCTCTGTTGCAGTCTCTTCACCCCATAAATGGCTTTTTCTGGTACTCTCATTCAGCCCAAATACAACACCCAATTTTTGAAGAAGTTTTAACAAAGAAAGCTATCTTTAAAAAGTGGGAAGTAGTAAGACTCAGCAATGGCATATAGGATATAATAGCTACTGTGACTTCTTACCTTCTAGGTGAACCATCTTCATGTGGCTGGATAATCACCACCTTTACAGTCACAGAAGTACGTAGCAGGTCTATCATTTGTTCATGACTCAGAGTCGCTACAGCTACTTTACAGATCTCCACAAGGCGGCTACCTTGACGTAAGCCTGCTTTCCATGCAAAACCAAATGGTTCCACGTCTGCCACAATCCCTTCAAAGTTAACGTGGAATCCAAGCTGTCCCAAGCCATTTCTTCTCAGGGTCATCTCAGTTGTTTCACATCCTCTGGTTACTATCTGAAGAAATATCAGATTAATGAGAAGACTACAGATTAATGGAATAGTAAACCATGAAGAACAGGGGTGTATCTTCTTTTTTTAATGGTAATTTGGGGGAGGATGGAAATATTTATGCTTATCAAATGAAAACTTATCTTGCTACATTGTGAGCAACCCAGTGGTGCTGTGGACAATTGGGCGGCATACAAATACTTTAGGTAAATATGTAGAATACATTAAGAGCATTACATGTACTATGTGTAACAATGCATACGATATAGCTTCTTAGAATTATGAAATGAAAATTATGAACACATTTGTTCTACTAGAATAATCATTAGAAATATACCAGAGCTATACTGAATCTGCAAGCTACTGAACCTAAGAGTGCAGTGAGTTCTACTGTGTTTGATGTTAAGTGCATTCAAGGTTGGGTTGGAGCCTAACAGTGTAATCCTATACAAGTCTATTCAGAAGCCCCAGTGTGTTCAATTAAATTTATTCTCAGGTATGTTTGTATGCATGCCTTTCCCAAGATGTTAGCTTCCAAATATATTAAATTGAAAGTCCCATCATTCTCAGACAGCATGGCCTTTCAAAGTCACCAGCTTGGGAAGGCTAGGATATAGGATTACAGCCCAAGTGACCTAAGTATATCTTATTTTTTTTCCAATTGGAAAAAAAGGTTGTGAATAGAATACCTAATATCATAAACAAGTTATTATTAACCACTTAGGAATCCATTTTTGTGAAATAGCAGTATAAAATAAAATCCCTTTTTCACTATCTCTACTTAGTCATCAGCAAAAAAAGAGAATCTAATTTTAGAGAAACACAGACAAACATTCCTGAATGAAATTAAACGGAAGCAATATGTTTCCATAGGCAATGTACAATATGTAATTAAGCCACTCTTGAAAAAGCCTACCCTTTTTGAAAAAGCAATGCACTATATGTAAGGTGACCTTTGTAAACAGTCTGGAAACTGATTCAAAATGGGGCAGCAAAACTGTTTATGAAGACCGGCTCACAAGTACGTGTTATACCAATACTCTTCCAGCTGCACTGGAAGTTGAAGTCCAGGCCCAATTCAAAGTGCTAGTATTAATAGTCAAAGCCCTAAACAGCTTGAGTCCAGGTTGTCTGAAGTAATGCATTGTTCCATATGTACCTACGAGAGGTATTTGGACCCTGAGATCATTTTATTTATTTATTCATTCATTCATTCATTCATTCATTCATTCATTCATTTGAACATTTCTATTTTCAGGCATCCTTCTCTGAGAGTCCCTTCCAAAGGAAGTGAGGCAAGTGACTACCTGGAGAACAGCTTTCTTGGTTGTGGCACCCATTGTGGAATGAACTCCCCAAAGTGTGCCTGGCCCCAACTTTGTATTCTTGTTGGTGCCAGGTGGAGACCTTTTTATCCTCCCAAAATTTTAACCATTTAACTTCGTAATTTGGGGGGGCGGTTTCGGCTGCAGCGTCATCGTCATCAGTACGCTGATAACACCCATTCTACCTCTTTTATACACCTAATCCATGCGAGGAAGTGGCTGTCCTTAACCGGTGTCTGGCCAGGGTGATAGGCTGGATGAGGGGCAACAAATTGAGGCTTACTCCAGACAAGACGGAGGTCCTGCTGGTAGTGCATTCGGCTTTCCAGATAAGTGATTTTAGCACTGTTCTGTACGGGGCTGCACTCCCCCTAAAGGACTGGGTGTGTGGTTTGGGAGTGCTCCTCAACCCAGAGCTGTCCCTGGAGTCCCAGGTGGCAGCTGTGGCAAAGAGTGCTTTCCTCCAGCTTCAGCTGATCTATTAACTGTGCCCTTACCTGGATGAGCAGTGCCTAGCATCAATGATCCATGCTCTGGTAACTTCCCGATTGGACTATTGTAACATGGTCTATCTGGGGCTGCCCTTGAAGATGGTCCGGATACTTCAGTTGGCTCAGAACAGAGCTTCCAGGATGTTAACAGGGACCGGCAGGTAGGCACATATAACACCTGTCCTATACCATCTACACTGGCTACCAATTGAAGTCTGGGCCCAATTTAAGGTGCTGGTGATGACCCATAAACCCCTAAACGGCTTAGGACCTAGATATCTGAAGGAGCGTCTCTTTCTTGATGAGCCCACCCTCACCTTAAGATCTGGGGCAGAGGTCCTTCTTTGGGAGCCCTTCTTGAAGGAGATTAGGAGGGTGGCTACCCAGAGAAGGGCCTTCTCTGTGGTGGTGCCCTGTTTATGGAATATACTGCCTGGCACTGACACATTATTCCTTTCGGCACTAGGCCAAAACCTTTTTATTTTCCCATTATTTTAAGGTTTGAGTGTGATTTTAATATGGGGTTTTATTGTACATAAAATCAACTTGGATGCTGTGCTCCACTGTTTTATTGTAAGACCGTCCTGAGACCTTGGTAGCAGATGGTATATCAAAGTTTTAAATAAATAAATAAATAAATATTTTTAAAATATTGCAATTTAATTCTTGACTGCTGCTATGAATCTAGGCTGATTCAATTGCTATTGTAGTTTTGTTGTTTTAAATTAATTTTATTTTTTTGTGTGTGTTTTAATTTTTTCTTAACTTTTGTTAACTACCCTCAAAGTCTCTGCTATTGGGCAGTATAAAAATAACATACTAAATAAAATAAATGCTGTATGATTGCCTTCCAGCTGACACTTAATGGTAAGTCCCACTGAATTCAGTAAGGCTTGCTTATGAATAAATGGGTTTTGCTGCAAGTGTAACTAACAATAAAATTGTTATTAAAATTTGAACCCATAATTATATCGTACTCTATCCCAGTTGGATCCAGAATTACATGGGATAGAATTATGTGACCTGAATGCACCTATAAGCAGAAGTGGAAGAGGCAATTTCTGGTGAATCTCCTTTTCTGCCTTCAGAACCCTCTGCTTGAAAAAAGAATCTGATCCAGAGGGTTAGAGTGAGCCCTTGAGGCTGCAGAGAGAAGGGGGAAGTCAAAGTAAAAAAGATGTCTTTACTTCTTCTATCTGTTGAAGAATATAATTCACAGATTAGGATCTGACTCACCTCAACAAATAGAAGGAGCTCCACAATTCAGTCAACAGCAGCTCTAAATCTATATCGTTATTCCCTTGATAATATAAGCAGAGCTCAAGCATATTTTTATAATTATGGCTTTGCATCATGCAACTAAGATTTTGGCTTGTACAATCCTTCCTGCTTTCCTCATACTTAAATGGCTTAACCTTAAGGGTTCAGTCCTGGGCCCAGTGCTCTTCAACATCTTTATTAATTATTTAGATGAGAAAGTACAAGGAAAAATAATCAGATATGCAGACAATACAAAACTGGGTGGAATAGCAAACACCCTATTAGACAGAATGAAGATCCAGGGCAATCTTGATAAACTTGAATGCTGGGCCGAAAGCAACAGAATGAGATTCAACAGGGACAAGTGGCAAATCCTCCACCTTGAAAAAGAAACCAAATCCATTGATACAAGATGGGGAATATGTGGCTCAACAGAACTGAAAAAGAGAAAGACCTTGTTATTGTGGACAACAGGCTAAATATGAGCCAACAATGCTATGCGGCCATCAAAATAACAAATGGATGCATTAATAGAAGTACTACTTTCAAATCACAAGAAGTGGTAGTTCCCCTATACTACTCACTAGTCAGACCCCATCTGGAATACTGTGTCGAGTTCTGGGCACCAAGATTTAGGACAGATGCAGAAAAAGGGTCCAGAGGAGGGCAACAAAAATGATCCAGGGCTTGGAAACACTGCTCTATGAGGAGAGACTGAGAGAGGTGGGCATGTTGAGCCTTGAGAAGGGAAGTGTAAGCGGGGACATGATATCCCTCTGTAAGTACCTCAAAGGCTGTCACAAAGAAGGTCAAGATCTCTTCTCACTGATACCAGAGTGCAGGGCACGGAATAAGCAAGTCAAGTTGTAACAACCCAGGTTCAGGCTACATATCAGGAAAAGTTTCCTCACTGTCAGAGCAATATGACAATGGAAGCAGTTGCCTAGAGAGGTCATGAGCTCTGCCACACCAGAGACATGCAAAAACAAACTGGACAGCCATCTGAGTAGGATGGTGTAACTTGGTGTCCTGAAACAGCAGGGGGTTGGACCCAATGGCCCTCATGCCCCTTCTAGCTCTACTATTCTATGATTCTAAGCTGTTCCTTCCTGTATTGTGAAAACTGTTGGCTATTACATCCAAACTAGCAAACTATGTTTTCTACTTATCTTCTGATCCAGGACTGCAAACAAAGTTCAAACCATAACTTGCTATCCAGAGTTAGAGGGGAAACAAATGCCACTTTATGTTTGTTTATTTAGAATTTTTGTATGCCATCCCATCACATAGCCTCGGGACGGACATGTTTATTTATGACATGTGGTTTGTCACAAACCAGGAACTAACCAAGAAGAATGGGCAAGACAGAGGGAATATTGCACAGGGCTTTTCCCGTGGTTGGTGTTATATGGACAATGATTCAGTATCTCAAATATCCAGAGCTTCCAATTATATAAACTTTCATGCTAAGTTTCAAAGACAAAAATAAAATGAAAGGTTTACAGGAACTGAATTAACTCTTAATTTCTCATGTTAGCCTGGTGTAGCAGTTAAGAGAGTTGAACTGGGACTGGGGAGGCCAGGTTTTGGTCTCTGCACAGTCATGAAGCTCACTGGGTGACTTTGGGCCAGCCATCGAATCTCATTCTAACCTACCTCACAGGGTTGATATGCAAAGAAAATGAAGAGGATGACCATCATGTAAACCATCTTGGCTTCCTCGCAGGAAATAAGGTATACAAACAAGCACATACACTGGTACACAGAGTGGATGTTTTCAAAAATTAATCATAAGTGATCTCATTTGATGCAAAAAGAGGTGGAAGAATCAGAAGAGAGTGAAAAGGAGGAGTCAGAGGCTGCTTTGTACCAAAGATTTTCTACCATGTAGCAGAAGAAATATGATTGGCACACACCCAGAATAAACTTCTGGACAAAATAATTCAAGAAGTTCTGTATTCTGCCACATCTGAAATTGCTTTTCCAACACCAAGTCACAAGTTTCTTGTTTAGTGACCAGTCAGACTCACTATCAATTCTGTCACTGGCAACAAAGGTTTGAATATTACAAGTTAGATTCTCAGTAATGCAAATTGGTTGTAACAGTATTTTGACATGCTGTTTTAACTAGCATTTACTATTCTGAAAGAGAAAATACTTCATGGGAGATTTTCCCCAAATTTCCATTTCCCCAAATTTCTAATTTTACACATAGGCATGTGCATATGCATACACAGACATGTATGCCTGTTTTTATTTCCTCTAATGCAGGATCCTTACATCTCTGCACTATACATATCTTTAAAAACATGTTAGAAAATATTTTCCAATATGGAAAGGCATGCATACTAGCACATTATAATCCCCAGGATAAGAGACTGTTATTTACCATTATCTAAAGGTTTCTGAACAAAAAATAATGCTCTCAAATCTCTAACATTTGATGCCCCTGGAGCAATCATTTATCTTGAGACCAACTTCAATTACGTTACAGTTTTTCTTACTGGTTATTATACCCATATATGAACCATTATGTTTTCTGAATATTTCACAGCTGTTCCAGATAAAAACAATAGCATGTAAAAATAGAAATTTAATGAAGTCCTTGCAGGTGCAAATGATTTTTCTTCCTTAACACAATACTCCTAAATTATTGTAGCCTTGCTCATTTGAATGGGTCAGACTATACATTTCAACAATTTAACACAAATAAAGAGAAACCTAATGAAGTGAAAATTCTCAGTTCTGCCCATCAGATTCTCACAATTTCTTTTTCAAGAGAAGGTTGCTTTTGAACAGGACAATATTTTCAAACTATGAACCCCTGGTTTCGAATAATCAAATTTTTAAAAATCTTTATCGCTTTAATTGTCTTTTTGTAACACCTTGGTAGATTTTTTCCTGAAAATTAGCATAAAGGATCAATCCATAAGCAAACTTTTACATGAGAATAAACCACATAATGTTCTCAATAATATGGAATATATGATAAAGCAGTATTACTGACATACTTTTTAAAAATATTCTTTTTCATTTCTGGCAGCAAATTTAGAAAGCCAAAGCTTGTTGCTGCCATCTCCATTCCTACAGACGCACACTATAAAGCCACAACACCCGAAGGATTTTATTATATTAGTAAAATGTATATATTTTCATTGCACAACTCAAAGGATGTTTAGCCATGTCTCATAGCTTGGCAGAACTTGTTGAGACATAAAAGGGGAGCTGGAAACAGGAAGTAAAGAAAGCTATGGATGTAGAGTCGGGGAAGAGCCGGCAACCAAGTCTGTTTTGAAGATTAATTATATTTAACAATTTCTCCAGGTGGTAATGCATTCATACTTCCAACATGGAGGGAAAAGGACAGCAAGTGTTAATGAATGAACCAAGTAGAAGATGGAAGGAAGGACAGACGGACAGTTGGATGGACACTTACAAAATGTAGTGGCAAAGATGTCAACATGGACAGTTGTCAGATCGTGTAACACCAGCTCTGAAAGACTGCACTGGTTGTCTGTCTACTTGCAAAAATTCAAGGTGCTCAGGTTGATCTACAATACTCTTAACAACCTGGGAAGACTGGTACATGGTTCCATGTGCTTAGCTCTGTGCAGAGGCCTGTCCCATTGTCCCAACACTGGGAGAGATGCACTGAGTTGTGACAGAAGTTAGGGCTACCTCTGAAGTGGCATTCCAACTTTGGAATACCCTCCTTAAGTGGTCCACCTGGCACTAACTTCACTATGACTTTGGTGATAGGCTAAAACCTATTTGTTCTCCCAAACAGTGGTTAGCTCTAAGGCTGCCAATTGGCTTTATTATAGTTTTACTTATGTATAATTGTATTACTCATTGTTTTAAAAAGTATTGTAAGCTGCCTGGGATTTTTTTAATGAAGGGAGGGGCAGAAATTGAATGATTGAGTGAAAGAGCGAATGAATGAATGGAAGCATACTTACTTCTAATCTTTGAACGATTTCTCTGATGTCATCAGCACAGTTATCAAGTGCAGACAGAAGAATACATTCTCCTCTTTCATAGAAGACTTTTACACTCATTAACCCTGATGTCCATCCAATAACATCTCTGCAGGAGCAGTTAAACACAACATTTTTTGATTCCTTTTCAATCAACACAATAAACTCATTTGAGATACCAAGGAGGCATTCAATGTCGAGAGACTGACCAAAGTCTCGTGCTATCACATTCCATATCACGGCACCAACACTGAATAAATGGGCATCCTTTCTTGGTTTAACTCTCTCCTTTTTCTTTGCCCCCAGTGTAATAAAACTAAATTTCACTGAAGTATCTACTGTAGCTGTGGTGACAAAATTTTCTGCTAGATCTTTCAAGTACTCTTGACGTGTTCTGGTTGCCATGGCTCGAAATTTTTCTGATTTGTGCGCTGCATTTTCTGCATTAATAACTTTGGCCAAAAGGAAGTCCCGAAAAACTGCTGATTTGGGGAAAGTCACTCCTTTTGGTATTGGTGGCCCAAATGGTGGTACATCTTTTGATCTTGACACTCCAACACTACAGAATAACCAGAAGACAGGGAGGGGAGAATGTTACTGTTGCATCATTTAACAGAAAAGTTACTTGCTTATATATAGCGTATCAATGTATGCATGCATATAAAGAAAACAAGAAAATTATGTAAAATGGCACACCTTAGACCTCTTCAATAGTAGAGAAATCACTGACAAGATGCAGTAGAAAAATATGAAGAATTTTTTCTAGTTGCAATTTTTTTCTGCCTAATTTACTGTTCACAGCAGGCAAATTTCCTGTTGTATCACTATACCATATAATGGCATGTTACACATACATCAGCACCAAACATGCAAATAAGGGTGCACCGGTGTACAAAGAGATGAAATACATCTTTTTGCGATGCTGTACATCTGAAATGTATTACAGTGCTTTACTTCCTCATTCCCTGAAAAGTGACTGACTGGGGGGGGGGTATAAATTCATAAGCAAAGGTTTTGATTTTTTGGGGAGGGGGCATTTCTGGTACAAAGTTTCCATGGGTATATACTGAATCTAACAGTAGACGTGGCATTTTTATTTAGTGAAGATTTTTCATTTCTCCTTGAATAATCTGGCTCTAGACAAATGAACAAAATTACTAGGCCTGAACAAATTATTTCTACTGAATAATTTCCCAAATTTCCAAAAGTTTTGTAAATGGCACATTCTAAGCTGAAAACACACAAACATACCACCACAAGTATTTTTTAATGTAAAATGAAGAAGCAAAGTCAATTAGCAACAGACCTATACTTACCTATAACACACATTTTCCGTGCAAGGGTTGTGGACTTTAACAATTACAAATACATGTTGGAAATGAGAACGGATATTTTTTGGAGTAAAAGGAAGTGCTCCAGGCTCTTGAAAGACAATGGTAACAATGTCATTTCCTATGTGCCTTTTCCTTAGAAGCTAAATGCAAAAAAAGTATTAAAATACTTATTTGTAACTATAATAACTACAATTAACTGATTTTACATCCACTATTAAAATTGTGACTATTACAAAATTAAGAGCCACACACACACAGTTATATTCTATTTAGTCATGATGTTCACATTCAATGTTAATAACTTGAACGAGGCAGAGCTGTCTTAGAAGAAATATAGATGATCTTGAGCTCAAATTTATTTTATGGTTCAAAGTAACACAGTTTTTAAAAAAGTCGTGGAAAGAGTAGGTAAAACATTTTCAACCAACTTTCGTTAGCTTAACAAAAAAAGCAAAGCCAAAAAAAGCGAGAAAAAAAATTCTCAGCACAATTCACATTTCAATTATTTAGAGGAGCAAACAAAGAGCAGAAATCCTTTCCCGTATAGAGAAGTGGCTGAATAACCTGCTACACACAGCATTAAACCATGGTTTGTTTAATCCAATGTGTTTTGCCCTACCCAGAGTCTGCCTGTCAGATAAAGTGCAATTTGTTATCTCAGTGCCTGGGTTGTTTATTCCCTTTTCCTTCATCTGTACCCAACCTGTATCCCAAATGCTTTTGCAATGCTATAGCACTGCTATATAGAGTAGCTTCATAGCTTTTTGATTTTTCTTTAACTACTCTTACTTGCCCCCTTTTTATCCTGGCAAAACTACCCATAAGCAGCCCATAGTTTTCATTCACATATAATAACAACTCTTGGTTGAAACAACCCCAGAATTCATCATCCAAGAACAAACCATGGGTTCTCTTTCTAGATTCTTTGTGATTAACAAGCCATGATTTGTTAGTGCATGTACACAACAGCTTCCACAATCTTCCTTCCAACACAGTTTGAGAATCAAATCAACACCACTCTTCTCAGTATTTTAGAAGCAGCTTTTTGAATGGTGTTTTGCTATGGTCTATGACAGAAAGTTGATCGCTCATGCAGAATGCCATGCAGTCCTCTGGGAATTGTCAAAAATGTTTATATGTAAATGTTTCCATTACTAATAAAGAAACCATACAGCAGGTGCTTGTGATTATAAAAAAGTTATTTTGAATAACTTTTATATAACACCAACACAATTCAATTGCAACAACCAAGTTAGCATGTATGTAATTTAGAAGGTAACAGTAGCTACCACTTTTGTAATTTTCTGAAAGCAGAAAATGTGTTGGAAATATTTCCAAATGTGTTGTATATATAAGTGAATGTTCATGTGCATCCAGTTCTTGGATGCATTTTTAAGTCAGTACCAAACCAGAAATTATTTTAAGCTACTGTATTATTTTACAGAAAGAACACTTGGGGAAAGGGGATACTAAAAAGAAGTGCAACCCCTAGACAGTCCATTAACTTGGAAATGCTCAAGGTGAGAACTTTTGATAGCACTGTAAGAACTTTTTGCTTATTTGTTTATTTATGGACTAGCTTAGGATGGTCCTCAGTAAACTGGCAGAAAATTGGAGGTTAAACTTTTGTTGTGGTTTGTACTGTTCTGGTTGCATTTTAAATTAACTTTACATTTTACAAGTTTTTAAAATGAAGTGACCAAGAGATGCATGTCAACAGAAAAGAAAATCTTGTACACAGAGCTATGATTATAATCCAGCCATATTAAAATAATGACAATTTTGTAATGACATAGTAACTTAGTAGCTGCATTGTAGGGGGATGTAAACACTACATCCCACTACTTTACTGAAGTCTGCACAGAAGCCATTTTAACTTATCTTGACAATATAGAGCAGAGGCTTGCATGTGGCTCTTTGGGTTTATTCTGCACTCATGACTTGCCACCCCTCTGTCATCAAACACTCACTGGCCGCCCATGGGCACCCACTTACAGCTGTCAAACATCTGACATTTACCATATGTGGCTCTTTTGCTGAGCAAGTCTGGTCAAGTTGACATACAGTTTCATGTACTGGATAGATATTTGTAAAGGGTGGGAAGTGGTCTCCAAAATAACCAGTCATTCCAAGCTAAAATTAAACAAAATTTAATCTGACTGTGTTTTTACATCAGTTCCCATCATCTCATGTACCTCTTTCTGGACTTGCAGAAAAGCCTGAAGTCTTAGCCAAAATTGTAGGTCTCTGGACACAGAGCTCACACTAGTGGAGTACTGCTTTCTAGACTTACCCTCCTGCTTTTATGCATTAAACTAACACTGGACACTAATGACACTAATCAGGACACTAACTGCAATGGCATAGCTTAGTGTCCTGCACCAGCAATGGATTAGACCAGAAGGCCTTCTGGTCCCTTTCAACTCTACAATATTATAATTCTATGAAGCAGAATTGTGTTTTGGGGATGACTGCTGATTCAGGAACCTCCCCTTCTCTCTGCCTAGGCACAGACATCTCCCCCACAGCCATTATTCCCTCTGCCATAAAGATGATTTCACTTTCAAAGCTCTCTTACTATGAGCTTTTGGAATAAACCAAACCTTGCTTAGGCTGTGTTCTTCACCTAAAGAAACATGAAGTCTGAGATTATCAGACAAAATAATTTTTTTCACTAAACTGAATGTTCCCTATAATATTGTCAGAAATTAAAAGAAAGCTGAAGCAAGGAACAGGTATTTCCAGTTTTCAACCAACAAAATACTTTCCCAACTTTGTTAAAGAGTAGAACACTAATAAAGAGATGAAACCAGATTCTCACTTTCCAGCATCAAGGGGAGAACTGTTTGTGTATGTAAGAAATGGCGAAAGTTTAACACCCTCCGTTTTTTATGTTCCTCATATGTTCCTCATAAAAATAAATCTAATGGAATGAACCATTTATCCAAGAGGAACTCCAGCAGGTTATACATCTATTCTGCCTAGATATAGTACCCACTGTGAAACTGCACAGAAGTCCCAGGAAAGAATGTCAAGGTAGTTCAGTACCTAACTGAACTGAATAACTGGCCTAGCAAAAATATCAATGTATTATTTTTTATCAGATTTGTATCAGCTTTGTAAAAAAAAAAAAAATCTTATCACAGCAGTGTGATTTGGCTGTATTTTTGTGAACCACATGAAAAGCTTTAAAAATATTTTAAATTTCAAGTTACATAAGCTAAAACATTCATATAAAACAAGACTGTTTTGTCATGGTAATGTTATTTTAAAGCATCTTTGCACACTGTGGCATTATTCTTTGGAAATTCTAAACTTAAAGACAAGTAATACAGGTAAAACGGTAATTTTGTTGGGTGACTTTTATCTAGTAATCCTATCATGGCGGGTGAGCAGAATCTTCTCTAGGAAGTAGCTATGAAAAAGTGAGCTAGTAACAGTTTTTTGGTAAATGAGTCGATTTTATCTGTGGGATGTATTTTCTGTCATGATCAGGTTTCTTCCTCTCTCTTTCCCTTTCTGGCAGATTTAGATGAAACTTTAGAAACAGTTCTTTTATTAAAACTTAACAGGTTACATAAATCAAAATAGCATTCTCCTTGAGATGTGGGAGAGGCACCTGCCCATGTAAAGAGCTGGATCCAAACTGAAAATTTCTCTGCTTCCCTCACTTTCAACAAAGTTTCTGATTCAGGGTGGTTTTCACTGCTTGATGCCTAGACATTGTGCATGCCAGTTACTTTTTAACTGGTCTGCTTGCTTCATCTGTTGTCTCTTGTGTTGGTCAAGGAACTCGTCTCCATTGTCTACCCCTCCAGCTCTGAAATGTCTCCCTCCTTTTCCAAGGTAGCTTGGTCCTCATGCTGTGCCTGAGAACTTAACTAGCTAACCTTGAAACTTCCGAGTCATCTGCCCACCACTGCCCTTCTGTCTTCTTTTCAGAATTGAACAAATCTATTTGAGCAGATTGCAACATGCAAAAGCTGGACACCCTCTCTAAATTTTCTTCTCTAGAAAGAGAGGCTCTTAGAAATACAATTAAAACTTCCTGATAAAGGTCCCCTACGATGATTCAAAAATCACTGGATAAGCATTCATTCTTTTTTAAAACAACAGCAGTTACTATTCAATAACACTATTTTCTAACATACCATTTGGTTACCATCACTTGTTTCTTACTAGTGATGCTCTTTTATTTTAGTTTAGTTTCTGTCCTACAAGACAGGCAATATCATGAAATTAACATTTGATGCTTGTTATATTCTAATTATATTAAAATAAAATGGGAATTCATTCATTCTTTAAAATCTTACCAAACTGAATGAGGTCTGAAACACTGATAACTTTTTTAATCAACACAACATACTATCATCATAATCATTTCCATAAATATATGCACAAGCCAGTGATCACAAAGAAGGAATTAAAATGCAAGGAAGAGGAAAGTTACACTGTTGATGAACAACAACATGGAAGACTTCAATTCTGAAAGGGAGAAGTGTAAAAATGGATTACAAATGGATTAAAAATTGATTACAAATTGAATGGAGAAGAAACAACGGAAAATATATTTGAGAAATGTAAAAAAGAGTCAATGGTCTGAAAACTGAGAAATTATGGAGCGTTCATCCAGACCATATACTTTTAAAGTATCAATACATTGTTGTTTTCATTATTTCTCATTAATTTCCTTTTCCTTCCCCCTTTCCATTTATTCACCTATATTTCAAATACATGCAGAGCAGCTAGAATATATTAGTAAGACAATGGAATTTCTTAAAGAGAAAGGCAACAGCACACTGACAGCAGAACTCTCTTTCACTTCCAGAATGCGGGGTCCTAGTAGCCTTTCAAAAGGCAAGGTATGGCAATTCTGTCATTTTTACTTTATTTGATTTTTGTGCTAAAGAAAAATACAAAACAAATTACAGGAAAACACGGGAGGGCTGTAATTGGAAGACAGTTACATCACCCCCCCCCCACCAGGAAAATTCTGTGAAAGAGACAAGATAATGGTACAATAAAAGTCTTGTCTGGAAGTACCCAAACTCATGTATACCTGGAAGTTTCATTGATTGTTTATATAAATTACAGCTTGAATTGTCATTCTAATTGTCTAACTAAAATATCAGCACTAATGAACTTACGAGAATTTAACTTGCCATGAAAGATGATCCAGTTACAATCATGTGAGAAAAGTACTATTGCTACATTTTTAAAGGGCTGTTCTGGATATGCCCTTTTTTCTTCTGCCTGTTTTTCTTAATATTTACATCAACCACAAGTATTTCATCTTAAGTTTCTCCCATGATAGTGAAAATCAGAAATGGGATATACTAGAATGATTTCTAACTGTTTTATGAACTTTCACCTGATCAGTCCCTTTTGGCACTAAAGGGTATATAAAGTTTGTTGTTTGTTTATACTATTTTTAAGCTGTCCTTTATTGAGCATCAAAAGCCAGTGATCCTTTTTTTTTTTTTTTTTTTTTGGAAAAGTTACTCACTTGTCCAAGACTATCCTATCATGCAGTGTCTTTCTTCATTCAATTTAAAGGGGAGGGAGAATGAATAGACATCACAAAGAAACCTCCAAACTTATTTTAATATAGCCATAAAATAAGTTATTTTATGAGAAGTTTGAATAATAACTTAATATTTACATATACAATGTGCTTATTTCAATCAGACCTGATTAAAGCTAGCAAATTCCAGACCCTAAAGTGGCACTTCATCTTATGCATTGAGACAATAACTTGTTTTACCTTGTTATGAAATCAGACAACAAAAAATACTTAGGAGAACGGATTTGGATTAATCAGATCTGACCAAAGAAATCAAAAGCAAATGGAAGTGTGAAGGAAATTTCACAAGGAAATGATCTGGAGAGTGTTTGTAAGGGTAAAGGTTCAACGGGAAAGCCTTTAGCTATGATTTGTAAGGAAAGCCAGAACAAAGTGGTGGTGGTGGTGGCGGCTGTACCAGAGTGGGCAGCTTCCTCTGTTCCGGCTGGAACACAGAGCAAATGCTTCCCACCCTATACTGCAGCCAAAGTGAAGAATTACCTTAGTGTTTGGATCTCCTGCTGGCTCTAAAACTAGAGGGTTGTCCTGATCAGTGACCAAGCAGGGCGTAGTTATTTCCTGGAAAAAGCAACAGACAATTCCGGTGTGGCCTATTTCTGGCTCACAGGTACCTGGATTCTAAGAAATGTTCAGCCCTTGCTCATTGGCAACAATGTTGATAGTAACTGGCTACATATCTTGGCCATACCAGATGAAAGAGAGGTATAACTTTATTCATGCCATAACTAAATAATCTTGAATATAAGATGGGAAGTTCCCACAACTTAAGTGAGTATAATGAAATGAGGCAGGCCCTGTATGCAACAGAATTTCTGTACCACAGAACTGGTAAGATCATCCACTGAAAACATCAGCAACAACATCTGTAAAGGTGAAACTCAGCCCCCTGAGCATCTGAGGGAAACGTCTTTATTTTGTGTGGATTTTTCCTAACTTCTCAAGAATCCTTCTATCGGTGCATTCTATCTTGTATATCTTGACAGCTACGTAGCAATGAAAAGCAAACATTTGTTAGCTAGTTCTTCCATACATTAAGGCTGGCTAAATGCTGATTACTAGGGTGTGCTGATCATATCTTATGGAAAAGTGTCCATGCTGTGCAAATACCACTGGGGTTCAATATCATAAAAATAATGTGGTGGGCCTTCAAATTTCAGTATTACTTGAATATGAAAAACTTCCACATAATTTTTATTAAAAATCTACAAAACAGACTATTAATGCTATTATCAAGGTATCCAAGATACAAAGACTGATGACTAAACATTGTGGAAAGGTGTGATTGTTATGGGGAAAACAATGGAATTTAGAGTTGGAATATTCTGACAACAGCTGTTGTTTCTCTAGACAGGAAAACACATTGGGGAATATCTGGGAAAAGATATAGGAGTAGAGAAGAAAATGGAATAGTGGTATGAGGGGCTAAGCAATGCAATAGTGGTATGAGTGGCTAAGCAAATGCAATAGTATGTTTGACAGACGCCATACAATTTTGGGAAGAAGTGGATCAAGGCAAAAGGCTATTTCGTACATTCACAGATTAGGCAAAGCCAAGACAAAGACAAACAACACTCAACATCAAGTAAGGCTATTATTTATTGCCATTGCCTGTGATTAGAAACAAAAAGATTTGGAATCAATCAGTTGAGTATATGGCTTGTAGAGGTATTTTCTAAAGTAGTTCAAAGTTGCATTTTAAACCATCCACAGACTGATTGCTGTTTCTTAAATGTTGATTTTTCTAGTATTCTCTATTTATTGTTACAATAAAGGAAATAAAATTCTGGCAGATAATTATGCATTAAGAACTCTGGCAACAGTATTTCAAAAGTGAACTCAACACCTTCATCATCTTTGGCACTTGCAGCAGATCCCACAGAACTTTAAGGGGAAAGCCTTACATACCATGTTGAAAACCTGGCATACATGTCTGTTCTACTTATGCATTCTGAAGTATGATTACTTCATGTGATGGATGAATTTATTTCTAGAACATAATTCATTCTTCCTCAACACAGTACCTTCCTGATATTTTGTACTACAATTCCAAGGATTCTTGACCACTGCCTATGGAAATTTATTTATTTATTTATTTCCACTTGAAGAGGAGTTGAAGTGAAAAATATCTGGAAGCACCAGGTTGGGGAAAGGCTGTTGTAACTGGTCAAAATATTTAAATATCACATCTGAAAGATGTATAAGCTTTTTCATATAATTCCTAGCACTACATTAAATTGCATGACTATAATATTTTCTCATTAGGCAGCAACGTGTACCATCAACCATTTTTCCTACTATGGAGATAATCCTACTCATTTTATTTTTAATTATTTAATCTATTTCTTGGCTGTCTTTCAGGGCAGGAGCATCTTATGGATGCTCACTTGTGCACAGGTCCAAGGAAAATTGACATAGTTTACACAACACAATAAATGCCCCCACCAGCATATAAACCATGAGGGCTTGTTGTATTGCGTGAACCCACCATGGCTTATTCAGGGAGGCTGATAAGCCCACCTCAATGGGCCATGGTTTGTTTCAGGCTTTAGCAGTCATCACTGGACTTTCCATATGACAACATAAGTTAGACATGAAATCCTTGTTGCTACAGCTAAATAGCTGCCAAGCAAGTGCTCTGATAGTCACTTGGAGGTGGCTGTCTGAAGATTTCACCCTGACTTTCCTGATTCAGCAGCAGCGGTGCAGAGTGAGGGGCAGCGACAATCAGCACAGCAGTCAAAGATTGACTGGGCTGACTCACTGCCCACCCCCTGTAAATGAGGAGAGACAAGCCCCACTCTGCCCAGCCTCCTATTGAGTATGCTGAACAGAGCATCTTCCCCATACAGCGTTGCCAGATGACCACTCCAAGGGGTGGCACTCTGTTCTTGGCCTATGATTTAACTTAGCTCTCTCCTCTCTCATCAGGCACTGGGCTAAACTACAGGGAATGAGATCTTTTCAGCATACTCAGTAGATTGGAAATAGCTCAGCTCCTATGGGCCAGTGCTACCACCAAGAAGCTGCAGGACTCACAGTGAGGAGTACAGTGAGGTGGCACTTCTGTTGAACTTGGCAGAAATGCTGACACCTAACCATGGCTCACAAAGGCTATCAGTATGTCAGGGTGAGAGCTGTTTTGGTAAGCCTGGAGTGGCATACTCAGCTAGACCATACAGACTCAGTATTTTCTTGGTCTGAGAAACAAACCTCCCTTTTGCAATCAGCTGATGGTCTCTCCTAAGCAAAAGACCAGGTCACCTGAAGTTGGATTTGTAGGCCAAGTACTGCCAATCTATTCAATAGTAAACTGTCCAGATGCCCAAACAACAGGAATCTCCTAGAATTCATCACAGAGCTGCGTATCAGCCATTACTGGATAATCTGTAGACACACTACTATGAAATTCCTTTGAAATCTGCCCCGGGCAAGGTGAGGGGACCAAAGGAGATACAGCACTGAGAGAGGAAGTGTTGTCTTCACTTCCCACACAGGTGCCAGGAGCAAGTCTTCCAGGAAAAGCAGGTTGCTTACCTGTAACTGATGTTCTTCAAGGGGCCATCTGTGCATTCACACACATGGGTGCTGCGCCTGCACAGTGCCTAGGCTGGAAGATTAGAAAGCTAACGGTTTTGGCGGGAAATTCCGCTCCCCTCCCCCTCAGTGGTATAAATAGGGCGGAGTGTCCGCCATTTTACTCAGTCTTGAAGACCAAACGTTCGCCTCCTTGAGGTTGAGAGTATATGACAGTAATCATCAACGGTACCGAATATTAGAGTATGGTACAGAGAAAAAAATCATCCACTCACTGACACCGAGCGGGGCCGGCAGGTGGGTTGTGTGAATGCACAGATGGCCACTTGAAGAACATCAGTTACAGGTAAGCAACCTGCTTTTCTTCGTTGTGGCCTCTATGCATCACACATATGGGTGATTAGCAAGCTTACCAGACTCGGAGGAGGGAGGTGTCGTCAGCGAAGAATAGATGAGAAACAGCTCTGCCAAAGAAGCAGTCCTGCCTGGCACGGACATCCAGCCAATAATGCTTGGCAAAAGTGCATGGGGCAGCCCATGTTGCAGCTCTGCAGATATCTTGAAGTGGAACCCCTGCAGCAAAGGTAGACGAAGTCGCTACTGCTCGCATAGAGTGACCTCTTGGAAACACAGGTAAGTCTAGTTTTGCTAGCTGGTATGCCAGGACGACAGTTTCAACGATCCATTTAGAGAGTCTCTGAGATGTGACCAGGGACCCTTGTCATGCTCGGAATACTTAATGAAGTTTCTGTTAGAACGACGGAAGGGTTCTGTACGAGATTTGTAAAAAGCCAAGCAACATCAAACATCGAGTGTGTGAAGAGACCGTTCTATCGGATTCGAAGACGATGGAAAGAACGCAGGCAAAACAATCACTTGACTCATGTGGAACGGCGTAGCCACCTCGGCAGAAACGATGAATCCATCCAAAGAATGACCTTTTCCTTATGGAAATTCAAATACAGTGAGTCTATTCGAAGAGCACAAAGTTCACCAGCTCTCCAAGCTGATGTGACTGATATAAGGAAGGCCGTTTTCCAAGAAACAAGGCGTAGGTCAACGGTTGCCAGAGGTTCGAACGGGGGCTTTGTAAATGGCTGAAGTACTACGGAAAGGCTCCATGTTGGCATAGCAGGACGGATGGAAGGAAGTAAATTCTGTAATCCTCTAATGAAACGCTGAACCAGAGGTTGAGAGAAGACTGATGAGCCTTGTACAGCGCCGCGATAATGTGATATGGCAGCTGCGTAAACTTTAACAGATGATGGTTTAAGTCCTGAGTGGTACAGCTCCAGAAAGAATTGTAAGATGTTCTCAATCAAAGCCATCCCAGGAGGAAACGAATGGCGTTCAGCAAAAGATGAGAATCTCTTCCATTTCGCCACATAAGACTGATGGGTGGACGGTCTCAAGGCAGATTCGAGAATCACTTGAATTTCTTGATCGACAGCTGTCGGTACTGAAGCGGTTGTTGTCAAATTCGAGGGAGGAGCCTTTTGTACAGTTCGTTGAGCCAGGTCCTCCGGTGCTTGAGATGTTATCAGTATCGAGTCAGTCATATGGATTAGCTGATGCGCCAGGCCGTCAGCTTCAACGTGCTCAAATCTGGATGCCTGATCGCTCCGTTCTGCTGTGTTAACAACTGAGGAATTGTTGGGAGCTGAAGAAACATTCCTCTGGATAGTCGAAGGAGAGTGGTAAACCAAGGTTGTCTCGGCCACCACGGGGTTAATAATATCCCTGTGGCATTGTCTTGAACTATTTTCAACGCCACTCTTAGAAGTGGGATTGGAGGGAATGCGTAGAAAGTCATGTTGTCCCAAGGGATCATGAGAGCATCCCCTATCGATCCCAATCCAATACCCACTCTCGAACAATACCGATCGCATACCCCGTTGTCTTGGGTAGCGAACAAGTCTATGTCCGGGTAACCCCAGAAATGGAAGAGGTTTTCGCAAATTTGTCTGTCTAACTCCCACTCGTGGGTTGCTGACATCTGTCTGCTCAGCGTGTCCACTTCTACG